TTGTGGCAATTGCTGCCAGCCACGAGCATCACGGACACAAATCCTCCCTCAAACAGGAATCCTCCTACGGTTATGATATTCACTTCTCCCACACCGGCGAAAAGAGCCACCATGAAGTTCCCGTCCATCACCACCAGGAAGAACAACATGCACAATCCACTTCCAATGAACATCATTATCATCATGAAGCCGCTGTAGCCCAAGAATCTCATAAACATGAGCCCACTCACGAACCACACTACGAATTCGGTTACACCGTGCATGATCCACACACCCACGATATCAAGTCTCAAAAGGAAGAACGTTACAAGGATCACGTTAAGGGAGAATACACTTTGGTTGAACCCGATGGTCACAAAAGGATCGTCGAATACACTGCCGACAAACACAGTGGTTTCAACGCACACGTCCGCAGAGAACATGAACATCATCATGCCGCCTCAGTAGCCCAAGAATCTCATCACCACGAACAGTCAGCCTCCAATGAACATCATTATCATCATGAAGCTGCAGTAGGCCACGAATCTCATAAACATGAGCCCACTCATGTACCACACTACGAGTTCGGTTACACCGTACATGACCCAAAAACCCATGATGTCAAATCCCAAAAGGAAGAACGTTACAAGGATCACGTTAAGGGAGAATACACTTTGGTTGAACCCGATGGTCACAAGAGGATCGTCGAATACACTGCCGATAAACACAGCGGATTCAACGCACATATCCGCAGGGAGCCAATCCACCATTATTAAATGTATTTAATTGTGTACAATATTTAATTGTCTTATTTATGTTATTATCTAAATGACTTAATAAATTATTCTCACATCAAATTCATGTATTTTCTTCAGTAAATATTTGCATTAAGTACTCGAAACATTAACATCCAATTCTCCATTGAGGTTGCCAAAAAAAATTTGGACTTATAACATTAAAATTGATTGTGACACAGAAAATACTATTGTCTTTACATTTATTGATGACTAATATAAAATCGTAACTACTGTTGAGAGATTTACTAAATATAAATAAAGAATATGATACAATATCTGTTCTGGTTTAAATATATTTAAATTCTGAGTTTCCAAATAAAAAAATGTTATGTGAGTGGCACAATTATATAGCGATTAATTTTAAGCAAAACCTGTATCAAATCAAATAAAACAAGTTTAATTAATAATGTAAAGGTGTTCGCGTAAAAGCTATTAATTTGATTAACAAAAAAGATTTATCGTTCTTTGTAATTAATTTAATACATCGTAACTTCTTCAGTTGTAGGGTTTAGTAAATTTAAATTACTTGATATAATTCATGATTTAAAGGGTGATTTTAATTAAGGGATTAAGAATCAACGACTGACATTATTAGGTAGTAATCGATAAATAAGCACAACTTAGTTGACAGTGAACAACAACAGAGATATAAATTGCAGCAAATTATAGTTTTCCCTCAAAAAGCATAATGAAAGGTCAGTTTCATAATCATAGGGAATAATCCACATTCGCTGTCATTTTTTTACAGTTCACTCCTAGTTGTATATGGAGAATAAATGTTTTCGCAAACAGATATTAAAAAAAATCTGATTTTAAAAAAGAAGTGATTTTTTTAATCACGATTTTTATTCACCCTCTTCAGTTGCTCATCATCATAAGGTCGTCCGTCCTAAAACTGGTTGTACACGTACTTCCACTCTTTCCTATCCTGAGATATACTTCGCATTTCCCTAAAACTAGAACAGCTCACATCCTTAATTATTTGCGAACAGTAATCTAATCTAGGTGTACATCTTCCCCTCTTAACTCCCGTTTCTCCCTTTAATATGTCTCTGACTAGACATTCATGCCTGAGAAGGTGTTCTACTAACCTATCTCGCCTATTTCTTATTGACTTCCGTAGAGTCTCCTATTCTTACTAATACCTATTAATTTCTAACCTATTCTATCCACGGTATCCTCATCATCCGCCTATAATACCACATTTCGAACGCTTGTCAGGTCTTTAGAAAATACAAAAAACTCCGCCGAATATTTGCCAATACAGTCCATTTCCCTAGAAATGAAAGCATTGCCCATGATATAACATAGCACAAGACGTACTTAATCATATGAGTTCACAATTACTTATGTATTATAAAATTTAAATAACTTCATTATTTCATACGGAGTTACAAGTACTAAAAGTTCCGACATAAACCGATAAAGTAAAAGCATTTTTACGAAAATAGTGACATACAAATACTCATCAATAATCGCTTATAAAACAATCACAGTCATTGCTCGATTCAGCCTTAAGGTATTCAGTTTTATGGTGAGACATTAATTTTATCATATAAAACCAACTTCGATTCAACCCTTCATCAGTAGCAAACCATCAACCGACAACAACAACAACTCCTTCGGAATGTTCTTTAAAGTAAGTATAAAAACTGACTTCTCTTTAAAAATTTACACATGCTATGCAGCATTGCGACCAAATGTTAATTTCTTAAAATGAATTTTCTATTAATTGTGAAATTGTTGTATAATAAGAATTTTCGTTATCTATAATTTTTTCCATTAAAGGTAATCGTTTTGGCCGCTTTTGTGGCAATTGCTGCCAGCCACGAGCAACACGGACACAAATCTTCCCTCAAACAGGAATCCTCCTACGGTTATGATATTCACTTCTCCCACACCGGCGAAAAGAGCCACCATGAAGTTCCCGTCCATCACCACCAGGAAGAACAACATGCACAATCCACTTCCAATGAACATCATTATCATCATGAAGCCGCTGTAGCCCAAGAATCTCATAAACATGAGCCCACTCATGAACCACACTACGAATTCGGTTACACCGTGCATGACCCACACACCCACGATATCAAGTCTCAAAAGGAAGAACGTTACAAGGATCATGTTAAGGGAGAATACACTTTGGTTGAACCCGATGGTCACAAAAGGATCGTCGAATACACTGCCGACAAACACAGTGGTTTCAACGCACACGTCCGCAGGGAACATGAACATCATCATGCCGCCTCAGTAGCCCAAGAATCTCATCACCACGAACAGTCAGCCTCCAATGAACATCATTATCATCATGAAGCTGCAGTAGGCCACGAATCTCATAAACATGAGCCCACTCATGTACCACACTACGAGTTCGGTTACACCGTACATGACCCAAAAACCCATGATGTCAAATCCCAAAAAGAAGAACGTTACAAGGATCACGTTAAGGGAGAATACACTTTGGTTGAACCCGATGGTCACAAGAGGATCGTCGAATACACTGCCGACAAGCACAGCGGATTCAACGCACATATCCGCAGGGAGCCAATCCACCATTATTAAAAATGTTTAGTCTATTTATTTATGCAATTATGTAAATTATTATGTGTTATATGTCATTAAAGTAAAATCAAGTCGAATGTATATGTTTTACTGCGTTCCATCAATGGGTCCTTTTCTATGTCTCTTCTAAAGAAACATGCACCCTAAAGGAATAATTGTCTTTTAATTTTTAAAGTGATTTAATTTTATCTAAATTACTCTATGATATGTGACGCTAAATTAGCCTTATAGCGGCACTTGTCCGGTTTGGCTGTTGACTGACGATGAATGCACATTCGAAACTATTTAGTCGATATGAATGGAAAAGTTTCTGGGTATTACAAGGGGCCATAAACCATATTGCAAAAATCATAATTTGAAGGGTTGAAACAGAGTAGTCGAGAGAAGTGTCATTCGAAAGATATCGAAATGCTAGAGACGATGAGATAAATATGCCTAACGATTTTTCATTAGAATTATAATTCTTGAGTTTTAAGAGGTATTAAATGGTATCACCTGTAGTACTAACGAGACCAGGACGGTTATCACTAGATTTGTATTGTTTATATTATTGTTTTTTCTTTGAATTCGTTTGTGTGAAGTACAAAATGAGCATTGATCGATATCATACGATTATGTTCCAATTGTCCATCCAAATGTAGTTGGTTCGTCCTTCAATTCACAATTGCAATTAAAAGTGCTTTATAAAAATACTCTCTTTGATAATTGAATAGTAAGGTATTGTAAAAAGCAAAATGTCATTCGCCATTTATTAGTAAACATTTCGTCAACTAATTAATGACTAATGACGAGTACGATCATTAAAAATTCATATGCAATTTCTGTATATCGGCTGCTGTCGAGGCCGGCACAGCTTATTGTTACAGAAATTAAATAACCATTTGTCATTTTCCTTAAAAAAAGACAAAAACTAAAAAATTTATCGATCAATACACATTCTATTAACCGGTGAAAAAGTTAAAAACCAACTGCTTATTGACCTTTTAGAGAAAGTGTTAAGTATTAATAGAAACGAAAAATAGAAAATAGTAGAATAAACAAAAAACATAAATTCAAAACAAATATATTTTATTGACACATATCACCTAGGAATAATTTAATTATTTACATAAATAAATAGACTAAATATTTTCAATATTTGTGGATTGGTTCCCTGCGGATGTTTGCGTTGAAAGCACTGTGTTTATCGGCAGTGTATTCGACAATCCTTTTGTTACCATTGGATTCAACCAAAGTGTACTACTCTCCCTTAACTTGGTTCTTGTAACGTTCTCCCTTTTGGGAATGTAAAATGCTCAATACAGAATTGGATGTTAGTGTTTTGAGAACTGGATGCAAATGTTTATTGAGGAAAATATATGAATTTGATGTGAAAATAATTTATTAAGTCGTTTAGATAATAACATAAATAAGACAATTAAATATTGTACACAATTAAATACATTTAATAATGGTGGATTGGCTCCCTGCGGATATGTGCGTTGAATCCGCTGTGTTTGTCGGCAGTGTATTCGACGATCCTCTTGTGACCATCGGGTTCAACCAAAGTGTATTCTCCCTTAACGTGATCCTTGTAACGTTCTTCCTTTTGGGATTTGACATCATGGGTTTTTGGGTCATGTACGGTGTAACCGAACTCGTAGTGTGGTACATGAGTGGGCTCATGTTTATGAGATTCGTGGCCTACTGCAGCTTCATGATGATAATGATGTTCATTGGAGGCTGACTGTTCGTGGTGATGAGATTCTTGGGCTACTGAGGCGGCATGATGATGTTCATGTTCCCTGCGGACGTGTGCGTTGAAACCACTGTGTTTGTCGGCAGTGTATTCGACGATCCTTTTGTGACCATCGGGTTCAACCAAAGTGTATTCTCCCTTAACGTGATCCTTGTAACGTTCTTCCTTTTG